TTGCTTTTTACTGTGGGCTCCCAAGTGCCATTATATGACAGTCTGGTTTTTTTGGGTTTTTGTTTTGGCAAGGAAAAAAAAATTAATTTTTTGTCTTTGTTGTTGTTGTTTAGTCACTTAAGTCATGTCTGACACTTTGCAGTCCCATGGACTGGCTGCCAGGCTCCTCTGTCTGTGGAGTTATCCAGGCAAGAATACTGGAGTGGGCTGCCACTACCTTCTCCAGAGGATCTTCTAGACCCAGGCATTCAACCCAAGTTTTATGCATTGGCAGGTGGATTCTTTACCACTGAGCCACCTAGGAAGCCTCTCTTTGATGCTTGAATTTGTGTTGGTAAGAGGAGAGTGATGAGCCTCAATACCTCTTTAGATAGAGAAATTCCTGTCTGACTTCTTCTCTCATTTACATTCTCACATTTGATTTTGCGATCTCCATTGTTAAAATAGTTTTCCTACATAAAACAGGTCTTGCATCACTGACAACATTCTCTTGTGTCTGGTCCATTATCTTTATTCCTGTTTTCAAGAGCTTTATAAGAAGATGGTATTGTTTTTCAGTGTCTATGCAAAGCCGTTCCCAACCGCTTAGCTCTGGCTTGTCCTCTATCATAAATGTTCACGTTCCCAAACCCTTAGAGTCTAGGAGTGCTCATTTGCTCACGTGATCCAGGAATGAAAATTACAACAAACAAGATGTTAGTCTGAAAGATTCTGGAAAATATTTCTCTTCCATGAGTAGAGGCAAGATATGCAAGAAGAGAAAGAAACTCTCCACCACCCATTTCCTTACTTCTAACCTTTGAATAAGGCTAGAAAATTCTTCAAGAGAAGAGAATACCAGACCACCTTACTTGCCCCCTGAGAAGTCTGTATGGAGGTAAAGAAGCAACAGTTAGAACTGGACATGTAACAACAGACTGGTTCCAAATTGGGAAAGGAGTACATCAAGGCTGTATATTGTCACCCTGCTTATTTAACTTCTATGCAGAGTACATCATGTGAAATGCCAGGCTGGATGAAGCACAAGCTGGAATCAAGATTGCCAGGAGAAATAGCAATAACGTCAGATAGGCAGATGACACCACCCTATGCCAGAAAGTGAAGGGGAACTAAAGAGCTTCTTGATGAAAGTGAAAGAAGAGAGTGAAAAAGTTGGCTTAAAACTCAGCATTCACAATACTAAGCTAATGGCATCCAGTCCCAACACTTCATGGCATATACATGGGGAAACAGTGGAAACAGTGACAGACTCTTTTCTTGGGCTCCAAAATCATGCCAGATGGTGACTGCAGCCATGAAATTGAAAGACATTTGCTCCTTGGAAGAAAATTTATGACCAACATAGACAACATATTAAAAAACAGAGACTTTACTTTGCTGACAAAAGTCTGTCTAGTAAAAGCTACGGTTTTTCCGGTGGTCATATATGGACATGAGAGTTGGGCTATAAAGAAAGCTGACCATCAAAGAATTGGTGCTTTTGAACTGTGGTTTTGGAGAAGACTTCTGACAGCCCCTTGGACTGCAAGGAGATCCAACAGTCAATTCTAAAGGAAATCAGTCCTGAATACTCATTGGGAGGTCTGATACTGAGGCTGAAATTCCAATACTTTGGCCATCTGATGTGAAAAGTTGACTGATTGGAAAAGACTCTGATGCTGGGGAACATTGAAGGTAGAAGGGGACAACAGTATGAGATGGTTGGATGGCGTCACCGACTCAATGGACATGAGTGTGAGCAAACTCTGGGAGTTGGTGATGTACAGGGAAGCCTGGCATGCTGCAGTTCATGGGATCGCAAAGAGTTGGACATTACTGAGTGACTGAACTGAACTGTCTGAGCCTTTGAATGAGATGTGGAGGACATACACCAAAACGAAGCATTAAAATATCTGGGCTTATAAGGGAGAGGCCAGGGGCAACACAGACTCATTGAACAAATGCCCTGATATCACTGAATTGTGGGTCCCTGTTGGCTCACTGGCTTTCACTCCTAATTTTTCTTAATTACCTTTTATTCCTCCTCCTTCTTTCTTGGCTCCCATCTCCTTTTCTGTTTCTCCTCTAACTCTTCACCCTCCTCACATGTTTAATGATTTTGAAGCTGAGATGGGCTGAGTCATGAACACAGGATAGTTATAAGTCCCAAACTGCCCTTTTCTGAAATAATGGGGCATGAATAAACAGAGGAGCTACACTATGTCCGTCCTCTCAAATCTTCCATCCCTCATCCTCCCTGCTGCCACACGAGACCCTGTAGGTCTTCTGTAGGTCATTCTTCTGCATAAAGTCCTCCACTGGCTTGTAATCTCATTCACGGTAAAACCTAAATGTGGGAGCCTTGTATCTTAACGTTATTCAGAGTGATTCATGCCTCCTTTCTACCCTAACGCCCCAGCACTGTGCTCCAGTCTCACCAAGGTTTTCAGGGTTCATGGAGTGTATGTTGTGCCATTTCATCTCTGGACCTCTGCGAAACACATTTTTCCTTCTTTGTCTGCAGAACAGACTTGAATCACCTCTGTTTAAATGTCATCTCCTCTCCCAAGTCTTCCTTCTCTTTCAGCCATTGCTATTGTCTCAGCCTTTTAACCTTTGAACATCCCCCCCCCCCCCGTAGACCTATCTCCTCTCTGTTGTGCATTTATGTATTTCTGGTTCCATTTCCCCCTCAGCCTGTGAGTTCTTTGAGAGGAGAGTGTATGTCTTATTTTTATATCCTCAGCACCTAGTGTTGATGTGTACCCAGCCTGCCTCCCACTGCTCTCCAACTCTTTTTTAAAAAAAATTATTTTTCATTTATTTATATTAGTTGGGGACTGATTACTTTACAATATTGTAGTGGTTTTTACCATACATTGACATGAATCAGCCATGGATTTACATGTGTTCCCCATCCTGAACCCTCCTCCCGCCTCCCTCTCTATCCCATCCCTCTGGGTTTTCCCAGTGCACCAGCCCTGAGCACTTGTCTCATGCATTCAACCTGGGCTGGTGATCTGTTTCACCCTTGATAGTATACTTGTTTCAATGCTTTGGTATTGGTGGGTCATATGGCAGTTCTATTTCCAGTTTTTTAAGAAATCTCCACACTATTCTCCATAACGGCTGCACTTGTTTGCATTCCCACCAACAGTGTAAGAGGGTTCCCTTTTCTCCACACCCTCTCTAGCATTTAATGCTTGTAGGCTTTTGGATAGCAGCCATCCTGACTGGCATGTAATGGTACCTCATTGTGGTTTTGATTTGCATTTCTCTGATAATGAGTGATGTTGAGCATCTTTTCATGTTTGTTAGCCATCTGTATGTCTTCTTTGGAGAAATGTCTGTTTAGTTCTTTGGCCCATTTTTTGATTGGGTCGTTTATTTTTCTGGAATTGCTGCTCTCCAACTCTTAAAAAAGGATAACTCTCAGTCATATTAAAAAATATTGATCTAAAACAAATAGACTGACAAATATTTCCCCAGCAAAGGCAGGTTTATTCAGGATCAGCAGAGAATTGCAATTCAGGGTCTGCACCCATGGTGAGCCACAGGGTTCATGGAGTGCAAGTACCCCATGGGAAGGGGAAAAATGCATTTAGAGAGAAAAAGGAGGGTGGGAAGCTGTTATAAAGAGTTCATAGATTTTCGTTGACTGACACCTTCCCAGGAAAGAAGAGGAGTCTTTCTTCTTCCAGTAGGGCTCTGTTATTATCAGAGTGCGAGAGCTCTGTCTTCTTTTCTCTCAACTCTACCTAATTGAGATTTCTGTTCATTAATTTTTACACAACTATTTATTGAATTTTCACAATGGGCCAAGTATAATAAATAAAACAATAGGAAATATTGTAATCCATTTCAAACAGTTAAATTACCCACAATCTTTGAAGAGTCAAACTTTGAGGTTGAGATGTAATTTAGAAAACATTTTAAACTCATTTATAAGAGTGCATTCCTTGAGAGGAGAAATATATAAAGTAGAATATACAAAAACTTATTGAAAACCAAATCAGAGTAATCATTAATTAATCCAGGTAATTTAATTAGTTGCTGTGGAGGCACAAGAGACCGGGTTCAATTCCTGGGTCAGGAAGATTCCCTGAAGGGGGAAATGAAAACTCACTCCAATATTCTTGTTTGAAAAATTCCATGGGCAGAGGAGATTGGCAGGGTGTAGTCCTTGGGCTCGCAATGAGTGGGACACGACTTGGTGACTCACAGCGTGTGAGATGAGTACAATTGTGTGGTAGTTTGAGCATTCTTTGGGATTGTCTTTCTTAGGGATTGGAATGAAAACCGACCTTTTCCAGTCCTGTGGCCACTGCTGAGTTTTCCAAATTTGTTGGCATATTGAGTACAGCACTTTCACAGCAACATCTTTCAGGATTTGAAATAGCTCAACTGGAATTCCATCACATCCACTAGCTTTGTTCGTCGTGATGCTTTCTAAGGCCCACTTGACTTCACATTCCAGGATGTCTGGCTCTAGGTGAGTGATCACACCATTGTGAAAACTTGTTAGAAACGTGAATTCTCTGGCTCAACTCAAGATCTACTAAAGGAAGATTCTTCATGGGTACTTCTGAGTTTTAACATCCCCTCCAGATGATTCTAGTGGATGTTCAAGTAAGTGAATGAATGAACTATGAAATGGGTCTTTCCAAAAGTCCCAGAAATTTTGTTTATTTTGGAGAAACTCGGTCCTTTCTGACCCTCATCTCCTAATCCTACATGTTATGAATCTACAGTTTTCAATATTCTTGGTGGGTTTTTTTTTTCTCTTGTTGTTTTGTGTAAGTTTTTGTTGTGGTTTTTGGTTTCTTTGTTTTCTGGCCCAAGGAGAACTTTCCAATAGTAAGTCTTTCTGAAAGAATTCGGAACTTTGAAACAACTCTCATTGTTCCCTTGTTCCCAGCAGGAATCATTCCAGCTCTGCTTCCCGAGCCCAGTCCAATCATTTCTCCCTGAGGATACACTCTCTTCCCCAGGGTCATGCCCCTGAGTCCTGCGTGTGAGGGATGGACAGGGAACAGGATGATGTGGGGCTACATATGGAGGATCCCACCCAAAGATGTAAGACCTCAACCCTCTTCCCCCGTTCAGGGCTGAAGGAAGGTGAGAGCCTGAGGGCTTTCCACGCAAGCGTATAAGGCAATGGTAGTTAGGTTTTTGGAAACACCAGCTGGAGAATAAATGTGTGACATAGTAGCTAAGTTGGTAAAGAATCTACCTGCATTGCAGGAGACCCCAGTTCTTGATTCCTGGTTCTGGAAGATCTGCTGGAGAAGGGATAGACTACCCACTCCAGTATTCTTGGGCTTCCCTTGTGGCTCAGCTGGGAAAGAATCCACCTGAAATGCAGAAGACCTGGATTTGATCCCTGGGTTGGAAAGATCCCCTGGGGAATGGAATGGCTGCCCACTTTAGTGTTCTGGCCTGGAGAATTTCAGGGTCTGTATAGTCCATGGGGTTGCAAAGGGTTAGACACAACTGAGCGACTTTCATTTTCACTTCACTTCACATAGACTTGATGGTACTGAGTCTAATGTTGGAAGAAAGCTTTGGGAAGTAATTTGGGTGGGTGTACTGTTAAATAACTGCTTCAGGTTGCATGTAAAACCCAGTAATTTTAGCAACCAAGTATATCACTGGCCTAGTGAGATAGGAAACAGAGGATAAGTAAGTTCACTTTAAATATCTCCAAATAATCCATTACCTACTTAATACAGTATTTGGCAACATTCACTGAGCATGTGCTGTTATCAGAGTTTCTGTTCCAAGTTCTCGGGTTATTAAGATATTGAAGTTATGATGCAGTTGGTTGAGGGGAGAAAGTGGAGAAATGAATGATGGTAAATATATAACAGAAGTATTTTTGAAATGTCATAAGAACCCTGAGAATGGGGAATTTGTTCTGCATGGGAGAAATGGTGACAGGAGTAACAGAGGGTGACATTTGAATGGGCTTTTCTAGATTTGAGAAAGTCAGATCAGAATTCTGGGAAACCAATATGGAAATAAATAAATAAAATATTTAATAATCTATTGAAAAGCTTGTGGCCCATTGGAGGTATAGATATTGATAAGGAAGGCAGATGAAAATTACATTTCATAGTCTGTATGACATGCTGAGTTGCATACACTTCCGTGTGTGTTTCTACCCTGACTTGATCTGCAAGGTATTAAATGTGGCTTCTAAGGGACTCTGGTGGAATCACTACAAGAATAGACGTGAGAGGGGAACATGATCAGACCAGCATTTAGAAAAGTCTCAGGTACAGCTGTGTAGAAGGCGTACTGGAGGAAGAGAAGATGAAAGTGAAAAAATAAGAAGGGAGTGATCTCTAATGGATAATGGATCTGGGGAGTCAGATGAGAGCAAGTGGAGACTGAAAAAAAGTGGAAGGGGGGGTCACCAATCATTCTATCTCTCACCCTCCGAGAGTCTTTCTTCACCTTTGGTCCCAATTTCTCCTCTGCCCCTTCATCTTTCCATTTCCCATCCTTCACTCATTCTATCTCCACATCTTTTTTCCCTTTAAATTTCTTCTTTCATTCAATTCTTCACCTATTTCCATTTCTTCTCCTTCAATAATTTTCTTTCTCTTCTATTGGATTGGATTCAACAACTTCTGAAATTGCTGTCTTTTCAGAAGAGCTCTAAGTCTCCTGTTCAAACAATATATTCACCTATGTCTGTACTAATTAGTTACACTTCTGCCACTTGACTCCGCCTATGTTGTGGGTGAGCTGAGCCTCACTCAGTAAGGGGCTACCTACCATGGAGGATGGGGAAATATGAAATGTCCCAGGTGTGCAGTTGTGGCCAGAGGTTCTCCTGCATGGACTTGCATATTTCACTCATGCTAGAATTAATACAAGGTACTTATTAGTTACTGACTAACAGCAAGGATGATCACTGCAGGGCACAAATAAATTCTGAAATGAAGGTTGTATCAATAGCACATTTTCATTGAATTGTAGAAGAAAAACATAGACACATGAAAAAGTTCATTAACATTATTATCTGTTAACTGTTGCATGAAAGAAAAATGATTGGTACAAAAATGTATTAGAGACTGGAAAAGGGAGAATATCTTAAGAGTAGGAGACTACACAGAGGAGAGTAATTACCATTTATTGTTTTAGACACTGTTCTAGAAAACGTATGTGTTATTTTATTCAAACTCCGAGACAAATTTAAAATCTGAGACTCAGATAAGAGATTTACTTAAGGTCAAATCTCAGAGAAATAAAAGGTTATGAACTTTACATTTCCCAACTCTGTTGGGCTCTATGTGTCTTCTCACCACTCTATTACCACTGAATCTTTGAAAAGCAGGTTGCATATGTCTCTAGATCAATTTAAGGTATCTTGTGAATGTGTACTCCAGTATCAGCTCTCCAAAGACAAGATCACTTATATCAGCCCAGGGTATTATGATCTGCACATCAGGGTGTCCTTTGTCTGGACTTGGACAGTTGCTTTGAGTCACTGAGCACTAGAATGATGCATAGTAACTTCATGCATCTCTGTTTGTGGTGTGTTTTCTTTAGGTGTATGGAGAAGACAGCGTGGATTCAGGGAACCACACATGGGTGTCAGAGTTTGTCTTTCTGGGGTTCTCACAGACTCAGGAGCTCCAGCTCTTCTTGTTTCTGGTGTTTCTGTTTGTCTACACCACCACTGTCATGGGAAACCTCCTCATCATGGTCATGGTGACTGCTGATTCCAGGCTCCACACACCCATGTATTTCCTGCTGAGAAACCTGGCTGTCTTAGATCTCTGTTTCTCCTCAGTCACTGCCCCAAAGATGCTGGCGGACTTCCTCACTGAGAAGAAGACCATCACCTACCGGGGCTGCATGGCCCAGATCTTCTTCTTCCACCTCTTGGGAGGCGGGACTGTCTTCTTCCTCTCAGTGATGGCCTATGACCGCTACATAGCCATCTCCCGGCCCCTCCATTATATCACCATCATGAATACTCGAATGTGTGTGGGGCTGGTGGTGGCTACCTGGATAGGCGGCTTTGTCCACTCCATTGTCCAACTTGTTTTGATGCTTCCATTGCCTTTTTGTGGCCCTAACATCTTGGATAACTTTTACTGTGACATTCCACAAGTGCTGAGACTGGCCTGCACAGACACCTCCTTCCTGGAGTTCCTTATGATCTCCAACAGTGGGATGCTGGTCTTCATCTGGTTCCTCCTTGTTCTGATCTCTTACACTGTCATCCTGGTGATGCTGAGGTCCCACTCTGGGCAGGCGAGGAGGAAGGCAGCTTCCACCTGCACCACCCATATCATTGTTGTTTCTATGATTTTTATTCCCAGTATCTATATCTATGCCCGACCCTTCACTTCCTTCCCCATGGACAAAGCTGTGTCTATCAGCTACACCGTCTTGACCCCTATGCTCAACCCCATCATCTACGCACTGAGGAATCAGGAGATGCAGGCAACCATGAAGAGATTAGGCAAACGCCTAGTGATTTCCAGCGGGAAGTGAACTTAAGATAAATTGACTTTAAATGACAAATGTTTTCTCTGAACTGTTTTCCATGTGAGAAGTGGAAAAAAGATTTTATTGAGTGTGGCAACTGAGATTAAAGTAATATTTCTGTGGACCTACTCCTGTGTCAGGTATTGTGTTAAGCACTTTTGTACTTTTGTGTCATTCTCAGAAAAATGGCAGTGGGTATGCTATTATTATATTAAACAGTTTTGTCCATCCCTGGTGCCTCAATGGTAAAGAATGTGCTTGGCAATGCAGGAGACATGAGTTCATTCCCTGGGTCAGAAAGATTCCCTGGAGAAGGAAATAGGAACCCACCCCAATATGCTTGCCTGGGAAATCCCATGGAAAGTGGAGACTGGTGCGCTAGAGTCCTTGGTGTCTGAAAGAGTCGGACATGACTTAGCAACTAAATGAACAAAACAGTTTTACAAATGGGAAAACTCAGACAGGAGTGACTTGCTCAATAATGAGAAGCAAGTGAGGTGCAGAACTGGGCTAGGGGACATTTTCTCTGACTGCAAGTTTCGAGGCAGAGGATATGGGTAGAATTTGAAACTCAGGGTCTCAGACAATCACAAGGGAAAACTTAGAGAGTTCCTCTTCTATGGATAAATATCTGTGATGAATGCTCCATATTTTCATCTTAACTCTGAAGCAATCACATTTGTTCTGCTCTCTGTCTCTCTACCTCAACCTCACTGGGGTATTTTGGAAGTGATCTCACTTGTAACATTGTCTAAAAATTCCCATAAGTGTATTTTCCCTTTGGATTTGTTCCTTTTCTACCAAATACTCTTTGGATAATATGAAAACTATTCTGCTTTCCCAACCAAATCCTTACATCATTTGTATGATGTGACTTAGAAGAGGATGCTCTAGGATGGTTGGGGAACCAAGGCCAGAAAGAGCAGGACCATGCCTATTAGCGATCCTGATCTGAGGTATGGGTTCAGTCCCAGGCTGCTGCCTCATGGGGTTTTGCCTTTCTCTTTGACTTCCTACCCTTAATGAGGGCTTCATGTAGGTAGGGACTGTACTTTATTCATCACTGCTGAATTTCCCAAATTTGTTGGAATATTTGGTATAGCACTTTCATAGCATCATCTTTTTTAAAAAATGTTTTTCCATTTATTTTTATTAGTTGGAGGCTTATTACTTTACAATATTGTAGTGGTTTTTGTCATACATTGACATGAATCAGCCATGGATTTACATGTATTCCCGATCCCAATCCCCCCTCCCACCTCCCTCTCTACCCGGTCCCTCTGGGTCTTCCCAGTGCACCAGGCCCGAGCACTTGTCTCATGCATCCAACCTGGGCTGGTGATCTGTTTCACC